AGGTGCAATGGAGGAGCCAGGGGGTGGCTAATGGTGACCACGGCCACCATAGATTAATCTTTGGCCACCCCAAGAAACTATACTTTTATTCATTATAAAAACTAAAAAGCACAGTGTCCCCAAATGATAAGGGAGGCTGGTTTACATAAAATATGGCCGTGGCCATCTTGGGTTTGAGGTGTCAACCCAATTTTACACCTAGATGTAACCACACGCCCAAACAGAAGCTGGAATCTCAATTATTTTTCAAATTATCAAGCTCACAACATGGATGGAAGGACAGAGGGTATTTCCAAGTCTCCCTCTTTGCTTTGCGATGGGACAAAAATGATATAAAAACTTGAAATAAACCAAGAAAAGTTTTAGAAAAATGTAATGTAATTCGTTTACTTTGAAGCTCTGACTCCATTAATTAATAAACCTGGGCAAAATCGATTATTGCCTACAAACATGAGCGGGAAGCGTGCAATAATATTTTTATGCATGTGTGTGCGTACAGATGTGCATCAGTGGTATAGTCTACATTTTGTTGTGGGTATACTGGGGTAAAGTTAGTTTCACGTTTGACACGGCTGAAGCCACGGAGCACGAATGTCCATCGTCCAACGTAAAACTAACTTTACCGCGGTCGGTCCGTTTACTGTGCTTAGAAACCAAAGTACACTCGTTAGTACAATAATCATCAATTTATTTTGATTTTTAAGCACATTGAACATTTCCAAACTTCTCTGATGCTTATATTTGAATAAGCAAACAACAAACTTTATACAACCGTTGGCTTTGTATTAAAAACATGTTATAGAATTTATAAAACTGTATCAAAGCAAAACATGGTCACGTTTTAAGTAGTAAGTACATAAGTATTAATTATACAATGATTCGCTGGATAAGCGAATGTGATAAACAGGCGCTGCATACAGATAAATTGTTACGGAAGCTTTTAACTGCCGTTTAACGTATCATGTCATGTATCTTTGGACACTTTTAAGTGAGTGTACTCTTAAGCTTTTCTAGTGGGTATACTCTGTACACCTGTGTATCACGTAGACTACACCACTGCATCTGTTGCCAAAATATCCAATGAACCACAGGAGCAATTATAATGAAACTGAGAACGTAATCAGTTTATGTGCATCTGTAACTGACTGACTTTTGAATTAAACCCAATCCAAGACGCTCATCACGGCTAATCAACCTTAGCAAACATAAAAATGACTATAAGTAGCACAACTGTTTGAATATTGATCTGAAATGTGGAGTGACGGTAGCTGACAATCATTCCCAACACACCTTAAAAACTTTCGGTTCACAGATTATAATCCTCAACAGTGAGTTGAGTTCCAAACTCCTGCAAAAGCTTTTTTTTTTTATTTTTGCCGTTACAGCTTTTCAAAACATTCCCAACTCGCTGCAGCGTCATACAGTAAGTGTGGGGCAAACACAGCAAAATGTCAAGAAGAGAAAAGACTGAAATGGTAGAACGAAAAATGGACGGGGGAATAAAATAAAGAAAAACTATTGCAGGGAGTGAGAAATGAAGGTCTGGTTTCATTATTAAATGTTTGCAGAGCGAGAGCTCGACTCCATTGTGCCAATAACGTGGACGAGCAACACTCGTTGCTTTCTTTCCTCCCACTGACCTCAGAGCGCGGAGGAAAAAAGTCAAGATCATAAAGAAAAGTCCACTTGGTGGATTCCTGCTCAGCAAGGACACTTCTTTCTCATCCTTCCTTCTCTTGTGCTTTTGAAGCCCTGTGCCTCTCTGCTTTGATCCCACCAGTTTGCCCTCTCTGATCCAGCACGCTGGGGAGGGGAGGACCGGGGGGAGAATATGGAGGATTTGGCGCCGCTCGTCTCTTGCGAGGGGAACATTTGAAGCATGTTGGTTTGTGATGCTCGCCTTGGAGAAAACCGCCGCCCACTCAGGCCTACAGGTAGACGGGTTGTTGTCAGGAAAGTAACCGCGCTCGTTGTGAATCATCCGCCGACCTTTGCCTTCTGTCTGTTTTCGAGTCTGAGCGCAGAGCTGCTTGTAATTTTAAAAAGCTGCGATGTGAAGGCGTTTTGATGCAATTCTCATTTTTATTTAACTCCTTGGCTGGCTGACAACTGGAAGGCTGCATGGGCACAGGTGCTGCAGCGTTACAGGGCACAGAGGACATTAGAAGTATTTAGATGCTTTGATTTTTAGCATTATGAGCTAAACTTGTTTTTAACAGTGAGTACCGTATTTTCCAGCGTATAAATCTCCTTAGTTTAACAAAAAAATCACGAAGAGGATAAAAACATATATAAGTTGCATTTATTATGCGTTCATTTAATGGTCAAAACAGCTTCATTTCGCCTGGGCAGCGCAGTGCCATCCATCCATCCATCCATCCATCCATCCATCCATCCATCGCAGCCGAAGCTGCAAGCTCTCCAACGTTCCTCCGCCTGCACCAGCTGAGTGAAGCGAGCGCAGACGGGAGGACTCGCTGTTGCAGTTCTCCGAAAGTTAACAAGATTAACACTTAAAAACAATTATTTGTTTATTCTGAATTATAGCAAAGGCGTGTCTGTTTAACCTTTCCTTAATAAATGCACTTTAATGGCCAAAACAGCTTCATTTCGCCTGGGCGGCACAGTGCCATCCATCCATTCATCCATCCATCCATTCATCCATCCATCACAGACAGGAGGACTCGCTGTTGCAGTTCTTAGAAATTTAAAGTGTCAGTCAAAAATTGCGTTTTGAATATGGAAAAAAAAAGTACCATATTTTTCGGCCTATAAGTCACAGTTTTTTTGCATAATTTACATGCCCTGCGTCTTGTAGGCCGAAGCGACATATTTATGGATTTTTCCCATATTTATAAATCATTTTATGGCTGAGATATGACCGTTTTCATTCATTCTGACTGAAAACAAAAGAGCAGTCCCACTTTCAGCCACTTGAAGGAAGCAGTTGTATGGCATGCTGTTGGCTGTTGTATCATGTAATAGGTAAACGTGCTTATAATGACAAATTCAAAAAAGTTCAAGACAAAAACAACTGGACTTTATTTATTATACTATATATTTTTTTTTTTTGTCTAACTTTTTTGAATTTGCCATTTCCTGGATGACTGAGAATCTTCACCAGCGTCTAATGACTCAACCGGCCTGCCGTAGCCTCCCCACCTTCATTCTGCTCGCTGCTCGGAACTGTCAAAACAGCTGCACCACCCCGGCAAACTGCAGCTGATTTGTCCATTAAAGTGCATTTATTAAGCAAATGTTAGACTGACACACACATTTACTATAATTTAAAGCAAACAATTGTTTTTAAGTGTCACTCTTGTTAAAGTCCTCCCGTGCACACTCCTGTGGCCGCCATTTGGCAGCCCATTGGTATTTGCACAACACCGGTCCACATTTCCGGGTTGTCGCGGGGACGCATAACAAACGCGGCACGTCAGCGGTGACGCATAATAGATGCCATGTATACGGCGAAGCGACATATTTATGGATTTTTCCACTTTATTAGACAAATATGGACGATGCGACTTATAGGGCGGAGCAACATGTCCGCCGGAAAATACGGTATATTTGTAAAATTCTTTTTGCTGGGACATGAATCTGCATTCATGCATTTTTCCTTCTGCGACTCTCAAGAGAAACCCCCACAAACACTTAAAATATCTGTTTGCCAACTCGTCTTGAACAGCCAGTGAGACGCTACCCCGAGAAAACACAGAAATGGTTGTGACTCAGGAAGTAAAGAGTCATCCCTGCCTCGCGCTCCAACCTGGAGATGGAGTATGAGGCAACTCCAGGTTGTCTCATGCTCAGTGCGAAAAGACTGAGCAAGATCTTCGAGCATTTAGTCTTGCGAGGCAGCAGCTGGTATGCATTCGTTCAAGGAACGCTAGTTTTGAATAATTCACAACGGTTTTGTAAGAAAAAAAACAGACGGCAGGAAAACAGGCGACTCTGACGATATGAAACTAAAGCAAAAAGCAACATCTGACGGTAATCTGATGCTCAGTAATCCAGGTAGAAAAATCTCACAAAGTTATGGCAGGTCCTCTGGACAGATGCAAAAAATTAAAAAAAATTAAAACTTGTTGAAACGTTTCACCTTTTATCCAAAAGACTTCTTCAGTCTGAGGAGCTGCAGTGAACTCAGAAATATAAATAGCGCCTTCTCATCGTGGATCAACCAGTTCGTTGTTGACATCCAGAACTAGCTGTTCACATGATGGAGGAGGACCATCAGCCTGACGCCTGGATGGAGTCAGGATGGACCTGACTGAACACTGTTGGATTTTATACCTGGATTATTGAGCATGAACCCTAACATCAGCTTAACGACAGATCGGTAGTGCTCTGATGGCCGCTTGCTATTCACAGAGGCCTGAGTGATACTAGCAATAACATCACTGTAAGAGGAGGACAGTTGAACATGGAGGTCTTAAGTTGGTTAAGTCCAACTGTCCCCCTCTTACAACGATGTTATTGCTAATATCACTCAGCCCTCTGTGAATAGCAAGCGGCCATCAGGGCACTAACGACCAATTGTTTCTTTATCATGTGAACCGCTAGTTCTGGACGTCAACAACAAACTGGTTGATCCACAATGAGAAGGTGCCATTTATAAGACTGAGTTTACTGCAGCTCCTCAGACTGAAGAAGTCCTTTGGATAAAAGATGGAACGTTTCAACAAGTTTAATTTTTTTTTTTTTTAATCCATCCAGAGGACCTGATCCGACGGTAACTTTTGCTCATTTTAACCAGAAACACTGAACTGTGACTTCTCCATATAAAAAATATACACATAAATTCTCAGTAATAGCAATAACAACACAAGCGTTGGCTTGGTTTCTATGCAGAAACACAAAGAAGTTTAAACAAAGAGACTGGACCAGAGTCGGACCGGACTTCTTACGTTACAGAATCAGTAATAAAAGAGCAGCAGTAGAGTACTGTAGTTTTATATTTACACTGAAATGTGAAAAAAATACGCTGCTATACGTACAAAACCTCAGCCAAATCGGTCATGTGGATGTTGGCGCGCCGGGCCAAGATCTCCATCAGCTGAAGGCCTTCGTCTGTCTGGAGATGACTGAAGACGAAGAGGAGAAAAGAAGCAGTTTAGACGGTGACATTTAGACATTTGAGTCATCGAAGAACAAAATGTTACAACCAAGAAAACATCAGAGACTAAATGTGTTTTAAGATCTCAGTATTGTGTAGAAAAGATTTTATTCTGGTAATAAACAAAAAGCACTTTGGTTTTTGCAGAAATGCTCCAGAATAGTTGAGAAATGTGTGAGTCAGAGTAGAGAGCAGCGTGATGAAGAGGTGAGGAAGGTCGCAGGCAGTTGGCTTATCACGTTCTTTTCAGACTTTTCTGCCTCGCTCTAAGTTTTTCAGCTTGTTCTGACAAGACGTGACGCGTCGGAACCACTGATCCAACGGTTCGCAGGGGAAGGTCGGACCTCAAGGAGAAGAAGATGTTCCACGTTTGTAGACGGATAAAACATTAATGTGCTCGGATTTGATGCTCAGTTTATTTCTACGTTTACTAAAAAACCTTTTAGTGTTTAATTTGTACAAAATATTTTAAAAAATGGAGCATTTTGGAACAAGACTAAAAAATCTGTTTAATTTTTAAAAAGTTTGTAAATCTGTTAATTCCAAATAGCTTCACACAAGGATTCAAAGTTTTTTAATTGTCATTCACATCACATGTGGTACACGAGGTGGAATGAAACTATGTACACAGGGTCCCAGTTACATCCAACAAAAATACAAATTGTAAAGAAAAACAGTGTAAGATCCAAGACTTGAACTAATAATACACATTCTTCTTTAATTACAGTTTAATGAATCGTTGTTTAATGTTTTATTCAAACTTGTGAATAAAAAGCTGTAATTTGTTGTGGATTTTACAAATGAACACGTTTTTAAGCACAAACTCTAGAGATTTCCTGTTCGCTGTGATTCTGAGCAGACGCTTGGTATCAGGTTGTATAAATCTTGTGAGCATCCGACGACTACAAGCTCATATTCTTGGTGTTCACCTGAGGTTTCAATGAGTTTTTGTTTTTAATGCAGCCCAGGAGGAGATTTCATCAGTTTAAGCTGATAAAGAAATCCCTTTAAGAGCGTCACTGCAGCTAGTAGACGCGTGCAGGAACGTTTCTCTCGGAGACTCGGTTCTTTGAAAAGATCTCTCCGGTGTGTTCCCAAGTGTCATGTTGTGGTTGGAGCGGCAGCTCGGTCTTTAAGAAGAGGTTTGACACAACGTGAACTCCCAGAGATCCTCAGCTTCAGCTCTCTTTGGAAGTTCAGCCACGTTCGTTGCACGCGAATGTCAAGAGACACTTTGAAGAGTCGATGAGCGGGGTCAGAGAGGAACGAGCTCAAAACACAGACGACTCCGACATCTGAACGGAAAACGTTCCGTCTGCTTGCTTACAATCAAACCAGTCTCTAAATCCAGTTTATAAAGATACAAGAGTTTTACCTTGATGCACATCAATGTCTTGGTTCTTTGAAGTCTTTTTTTAACCAACGTAAAAGCATAATTTAAGTTCAAGAGTGGAAAATCATATGATGTTGACTTGCCTCAGACAAAAGACCTTAATTGTAAAATGCTACTTGCCGCATTTATGTAGATATTACCGTATTTTCCAACCTATAAGTCGTGTTTTTTGCATAATTTGCATGCCCTGTGATTTATACTTTTATATATGGTATGGTATGGTATGGTATGGTATACTCAGAACCGACATATTTGTGTGTTTATCCCTCCATATTTATAAACCAACTTTTGGCTGAGAAATGACCGTTTTTATTCATTCTGACATTGAAAACATTGAACACTACCTATCCTGATGCATGCTCAATAATCCAGGTAGAAAAATCTAAAAAAGTTAAATCTGGTCCTCTGGACATTCAAAACAAAACAAAGCAAAACAACAAAAAATGTAGAAACGTTTCGTCTCTCATCTGAGAGACTTCCTCAGTCTGAGGTGCTGTATTCAGCTCAGTCTCTTAAATAGCACCTTCTCAGAGTGGATCAACCAGTTTGCTGTTGACAACCAAAACCAGCTGATCACATGCTCAAGAAGGACCATCAGCCTAACAATGGATCATTAGCACACCGATGGCTGTTTACTGTTCACAGAGGGCTGAGTGATACTAGCAATCACAGCATTGTAAGAGGGGGACAGTTGAACCCGGAGGCCTCCACCCCTGTTTAATGATGGACGATTTCTTTTCACAAAGATGGCCTCCTTTACTCCTCTCTCAAACCATCGTTCCTCTCAATGTGAACATCTTCATCCCTGACAGTGACCGCTGGCCTGGAGAGGAGTGTAGACCACAGAGTCCTGGCCTGATGATGTTGATCTTCTGTGCTGGGCCATCCTTTTGGCCAGTGGCTGTTTAGTTTCCCCGATGTAAGACTGATCACAGCCCTCCTGACACTGAACAGCATACACAACATTGCTCTGTTTGTGCCGGGGGACTGGATCTTTGGGATGAACCAGTCTTTGCCGTAATGTATTTTGGGGTTTAAAAGCCACTGGGACGTTATGTTTAGAAAATAAATGTCTCAGTTTCTCTGATACTCCCTCAACATATGGAATGATCACTGGTCTGGGTCTGGGTTCCTCCTTTTCACCGTTGTTGAACACTACCATTTTCAGCTGCTAGATGGCACTCGAGTAGTATGGCATGCCGCTGATTCATGTAAAAGGTAAAAGTTACTATTAATGGCACAATCGGCTTGCCATAGCCTCCCACCTTCGTCCAGCTCGCCTGGAGAAACCGTCAAATCAGCTTCATTTTGCTGCACCACCCTGGAGAAATGCAGCTGATTTCACCACTGAAGTGCATTTATTAAGTAAAAGTTCAACCTTTACTATAATGTCGAGCATACAAATAATTGTTTTTAAGTGTTAATCTTGTTCAAATCCTCCCGTGCACACTCCCGCGGCCGCCATTTGGCAGCTAATCGATTTTTGGCACAACACCGGCCCACATTTCCGGGTTGTCAGCGGTGACGCATAATAGATGCAACTAATACAGTGAAGTAACGCATTTATGTTTTTTCCACTTTATTAGACAGATTTGGACTGATGTGACTTTACAGGGCAAAGTGACGTGTACGGTGGAAAGTGCATTGTCTCTAGGTGAGAGCGAATGTTTGTTTGTCTCTGTGTGTCCCTGTGATGGACTGGAGACATGTCCAGGTGTCCCCCGACGAAAACCCCCCTCATGAGGAAGAAACCTTTAGCAGAACCAGGCTCAGGACAAAGGCCCATCTGCTTCAAAGTGGCTGCTACAGCTAAGCAAACTTAGCAAACAGAATGCTAAAACTCAGCCGGAGTTACAGAAAAGCTGAAATCTGGTGTGGTAGTAGCGGGAAGTAATCCTCAACCTAAAGGTTCGCAGAAATAAATCTACAGATTTCAGAAAACTTCTTGAAAAAGTCTTTAAATGTACTGAAACTAGTAAAGCTTGTGTTGACTCATTACAAAGTTATTAACTAGTCGAAGCCGTCCGTCAAATATAAGAAGTGACAAAATGTAGGATCGTAGAAGTTTTTGATTTCATGAGAGCTCCTTTATAATTTACTTTTACTATTCACGCATAATATAAATAATAAAAAAATAAAACTTACTCGTGATATAAAGTTTACTCCAAACCCAAACATCAGAGCTGCTGTCGTCACTTAACGTTCGACTTACTCCGTGTCCGTGATGACGTAACCGAAGACGTCCTCGTCCGCGTCCTTCCTGCTCGTTTTCACGTCCAGCTGGAGCTCGGGGGCCTGCATCGTCTTCTTGTGCGTCTCCTCGTGCACGAGCGCCGCCGGAGGGGGCGCCACCTCCTTGATCCAGCCCTCCACCTCCGACACCTCCTCCACCGACTGGGTGGCGTCCTTCTTCTGCACCGTCACCGCCGCCTCGCTGGTGCGACTCTGGACGTTTTCCAGGCCCGCCTGCCGGCCTCTGTTCGTCTCCATGGCAACGTCGTCGCGGCTTCTCGCCGACGGAGGACCGGCGTAGGGGCTTTTATCCAAGTAGGTGAGGAGTTTGGACAAAAGGCTGCTTCTCTTGGCCTGCAGGGACCGACCAACACAGATGACTCTGAACAAACTATATTTTATTTTAAATGCATACAAAAAAAACGTTGTGTTCTGTTTAATAATTAAACAAAATAATAAGTAAATGCTGCTTTAAAATGGGTGAAAACATGAGTAGCTGGAACAAGTTACGCAACAGATCCTTTTATTTTTATCCTCAGGTGCATGATATAACTTTTAAATGGCAGCTTTGGAGATGTTTTGATCCAGAATTTATTGTTTAAACCTTTAAAATGATCAAGTGGGAGTTTTTCCGTTTTCCAGTCGGTGCTCATGTGCACGCAGCAGGCGTGAGGGGATCATCGGCTGGAATCAAACGCAAAGCCGACCCGTCGCTTTTATCCCTCAGCGTCCGTCTTCGCTGCTCGTTTGGTCAGAAGTTAAATGCCACAGCTGCTAAAAGACCGAACCAAAAATCTACTTTGAGCGAGTTGAAATGAAATCTTTAAATCTTCAGGTTGTGCCGAGGATCAGCGGGATGGAACCGGATCACTTCCAGGACATTTAAATCGTTAAGCGTCAGGACGACGACTTTTCATCAAGTTGTTTCTAATCCTTTGCTTTTTGCTCTTTACCTGAATCACACAATCAATAAGGTTCAGTTTTCAACACATTACTCATCAATAAATGCAAGTTTGTCAAAATACTGAAAAAAATAAAAGACTTTGGACAATTTGTGATACAAAGTTGAGACTTCTCAGAGCGTTGCATCACAGCAGGTTCTTTAAAAGCAGTAATCCAGTTATTAATAGTTGTTTTTTTTTTTAAAGCAATGCTTCCTGAAACTAAATCATATCAGCAGATATTATAATCAATATTATCTTAAAGCACATGTTTGGCCAAACTTAAATCGGGATACAACAACGTATGCGTGCATATTTTTAGGTTTATGTGTTAGCTGGAGTTTATCTTCTATAAAACATTAAAAACCGTAGATGTGGGTTTTTAAAATGCTTTTTTCCTTTAATTGGAATAAATCTCAACTTTAAACGTATTTTGCTTCTTCCAGTTGGTTAAAGAAATAAAACGGTTTCTACTTGCCGATGAATCAAAAGTAGAATTTATTAGTTACACTAATAAATATTGAGTTATATTTTTATAAACATCTGTTATAGTACTTTAATTATTAGACAGACTTGTGAGTTTTAAATGCATAATATTGCCTAAAAAAAGTCTTTAAAATCAGTGCAACTTCACATAAATATTTCCTTAAACATTTGGGGCAAACTGAGACACTTTCTAATTTCAAATCACAAAACAATTTGTTGTTCTGTTAATCTGGACTAATATTTAAGTTTTTCTAGGATTTTAGATTTTTTTTAATCTGCAGGTGGAAATGATTTGCTGGTTTTATAAACCACAAGCGAACGGACGTACCTCGTCCTTCAACTGGACCTCCTCTGCATCTGCGTGGCGCTCTGTCAGGAGGAGAAGAAAGTGGACATTTTGTCTTCAAGGACAAGAAACAAAAAGGAATAAAAACTGGTGACATCCATCAAACAGCAGAGAACTAACACGGTCTTTGATTTAATCCTAAATTCATTTTATTTTTTATTATTTCACAGAAAATACACACGAGAATAACGTTCAGATTCTAAAACGAGCCCAGCCACAGTGTTTGAGAGAGTTTCAAATATTTCCACCACGGTTTGAGGTTTAAACACTTTCAGTCTTTTGGGTCGGAGAACCATTACCGTATTTTCCACCGTATAAGTCGCATCAGTCCAAATGTGTCCAATAAAGTCGGAAAAGAACAAAAATACGTCGCTTCGCCGTAAAAGTCAGATCTATTATTCTGTGTCACCGCTGACCACCTGGAAACGTGAGCTGGAGTGCCAAAAATCGCTTCTCAGCCAAAATGGCGGCCGTGGGTGCGCGCTCAGGAGAACTTTAACCAGATTTTAACAAGATTAACAATAAAAACAGTTATTTGTTTGATCTACATTATAGTAAAGGTGTGTCTAAGTTTAACTTTTCCTTAATAAATGCACTTCAATGGTCGAATTAGTTGCATTTTGCCGGGGCGGCGCAGCGAAATGAAGCTGATTTGACGGTTGCTCCAGGCGAGCTGGACAAAGGTGGCAGGCTATGGCAGGCCGATTGTGTCATTAATATCCACTTTTACCTACTACATGATGCTGGTGAAGATTTTCAGTCATCGAGGACATGGTGCGTCCAAAAAAAAGGTTATAAACAAAACAACTGGACTTTATTTGTAACTTTTAAGCGAAACGTATTCAGTTACAAATAAAGTCCAGTTGTTTTGTTTATAGCCCTTTTTTTTGGGGGGGGGGGGGGGGGGGGGGGGGCTATTACATGACACAACGGCATGCCATACTACTTGAGTGCCATCTAGTGGCTGAAAGTGGTATTGTTCAATGTCAGAATGAATTAAAATGGTCATATCTCAGCCAAAAATTGGTTTATAAATATGGGGGGAAAAACAAATAAGTCTCTTCAGTGTATAAGTCACAGAGCATGTAAATTATGCACAAACATGTGACTTATACACCAAAAAATACGGTAACTCTGTTTCTGCTCTGCACAGAGGAAACGAGTCACTTTACAACGATTGGTCTGTGGCGCTCCTGCATCAAGTTAAAGGTATTTCAACAGTGATGATCGTATAGTTTCTACAGGTTATTTAATACTTTAAAATATACAGAAAACCACAAAGTGAACCATCTCACCTTGTGGGGGCACAGAGAGGATCTCCTGTGGGGTCAGAGTTGGTGCGTTCTGCAGAAGTTTCTCATCTTCCTCATCTCTAGAAGACTCCTCATTCGAGTCCCTCGGCTCTTCTTCCAGGTCTCTCAGTCCAAGTCCCCTGTCCCGGGACAGTCCCTTGTTTAGTCCTGGGTCCTGGTCGACCACCAGCAAGGCATCAGCTATCAGGCTGGACAGCTGGTCCAGGTCCTGAGGTGTCAGGTTGTCCACGTTGAGATGCTGCCTGCCAGCGTTCTTCATAACGTTCTCGATGAACTTCACTGCATGGAGAACACAAAAGAACAGGTTTATTGGTAAAAGGCCATTTTTTGAGGCCTCGTCCACATGAAATACAGTTTTTAAAAGTACCCTCATAAACATGAGAACTGTCACATTAAAGCACCATTTGGTCCAAAAAAACAACCTGGTGTTTCTGCATTTGATGAGAACGTTACCAGATGTAGACTGAGGTTTTCACTGAATCTCCTCGCACTCCAAAACCCCTGCAGTCTTCAGAATATTTGAAAGATTTGGTTCAGTCACACTTTGCTTATCTGCTGCAGCTGGAGGCCCAGCTGGATTCCAGCTAAACACTCAAGCAAATATCTTCTGAAGATGGTAAATTAAGATTGAAAATGTGCCTCAAATCAAAGCAAAAACATCTGACATCTTTGTGTCGGCTCAACAACTAAAGCCACAACGTTCCGAAGTCAGTAAATCTAATCAAACAATCCGGTTCAGACGAGAGTTGGAACTGAAGCCGTGCTTGTTTGTATGCATCTATGGAAACAAGTAGCATAAAGTTCCAGTTACCGTATTTTCCGCTATACGTGTCGCACGCCATATAAGTCGCATCAGTCCAGATTTGTCTAATAAATTTGAAAAAACAAATATGTTGCTTCGCCGTATAAGTCGCATCTATTATGCGTCACCGCTGACAACTCGGGAATGTGGGCCGGCGTGCCAAAAATTGATTGGATGCCAAATGGCAGCTACGGGAGCGTGTGTAGTGAACCTGATCTGACCTCAAATCTGATCAGATGGACAGAGACCGTTATTTCATTGATCTGCATCCAGAAATACAGTTTGAGCCATCTGGAGACTTTCTTTCTTGAATTAATCAAGCAGAAAAGACAATTCTCTATGATCATTACTGTTTTACAAATGTTTGATAATCAAATTGTGTTAGTTCACTCAATGCTTACAGGTTGAAGAGAACTACTCATTTTTATTTTACATAAACAGTAAGTAATGATTTTTATTCCTCATTCAAAGAAGAAATCAGGTTAATATGCATTTCTTGATTTTTCTGTCTGCAATGAGCAAGTTTTGTAAGTATGTTAAAGTTCAGGCTTCGGTCAACTAAAATGTTTACTGAGAAGAAATGTCATGTTTAACTATTTGAGAAGATACAGCAGAGTTTGACTCCACGAAGTCTGGTTTTCTGCAATAATCTCTCTGTCTGTTGTTAAACAATCTCATTCTCTGACCTTGAATTTGATAACATCTTACATCACAAACCACACCTCTATTCTGGTCCATCCACGAATCAGAAAGCTCTAAATTGACCCGGAAGTCAACTCATTTAAAATGTGGCAACTTCCCGGTTCTTGGAGAGTCTGATGCTGCAGAGTACTGAAGGTCTGAAGCCTAGAGTGCTGAAGAGTGATGGAGTTAAAGAGCTAGAGTGTAAGAGCTAAAGAGATGAAAGGAGTTCAGAGTTCTTGGATGCAAACGCATTCAAGATGATCCAGAGACGTTTTGGGATTATAACTTCTGTTTGGAAAACCTCGTACGACTCTCTAAGGGTTTGGCAGTCCTCACGGAGACGCTGAAAGAGTCAGAAAGGAACCCTACGCCGACGCTGATTTTATCATCAACCAGGTAGAAGGTTCTATTTTCGACCAAGTGTACCGTGGGCAAGCTGAGATCTGAAGGAGCGTGCACGTTTCTGGTCAAACAGATTAATTCCCTCACACATCTCTCTGTAAGATAAATCTCCATTTCCATCTTAAACTCTCCTTTCTCCTAAGATCATAACAGATATCTTAGAAATATCTGAAGCAAAGTCCTCGATCACCGCCGTGTGATTGATGTCCATTATCTGTGAAACTTGTCTGTTATTATTTTCATATTTTGCCAAATTAATGTAAATGTTTGATGTTAAACTTTGATTCTGAAAATAAATGACCGCATTCATTTGATGGGTCAAAGATAATAACGTCTCTCGTTCGCATTTCTGTTAAATTCAATGCACGGCATTTACACAGTCAGAAAGATGAGGAACTCGTGAAAAATGTATGAAATATCCAGCATATGACATACTACACGTGAACGGGAGGACTTTAAGAATTTAACAAGAGTAACACTTAAAAACAATTATTTGCTTGCTCAACATTATAATAAAGGTGTGTCCCAGTTGAACTTTTACTTAATAAATCACTTTAATGGTCAAATCAGCTTCATTTCACCGGGGCGGTGCAGCGAAATGAAGCCGATTTGATGGTTGCTCCAGGCATGATTTCGTAAGTAGACGAAGATGGCCACTATGGCACGTCGATTGTGTCATTAATGGCCACTTTTACCTATTACATGACACAATGGCATGCCATACTACTTGACTGCCATCTAGTAGCTGAAAATGGTAGTGTTCAATATTTTCAATGTCAGAATGAATGAAAATGGTCAAATCTCAGCCAAAAATTGGGTTATAAATATGGGAAAAAAAAACAAATAAGTCGCTTCGGCGTATAAGTCGCAGGGCATGTAAATTATGCACAAAACTGCGACTTATAGGACGGAAAATACAGTAGTTAGAAAACATCTGAGAAGTCAGCCCAGAGTCACAGCAAAATATGGATAATAAATCAGTTTAATGTCTTTAAAATGATCCATTATAATAATAATAATAATAATGATGTCATCACTGTATGTTTCCATTCAATGGTGAAGTTACTCTCTGCATTTAACCCATCCACCACCAGGTGGTGCAGTGGGCAGCTATTGAAGGAGCTCGGGGGGCATTTTGAGGGTGAGGTGTGCTGTCCAGAGACACCACGCGGTATGCAGTGACCGGGGATCGAACCTGGGACTTTCGGGTCCCAAGCCGGCTGCTCTGCCTCTACACCATCTCAACCCCCATATCTAGAATTTCTGATCTATTTTAACTTTTTTTTTTTTTAAGTTCGACATCTGCATGTGAAGTCACGCAAGTTTGTGTTTGTGTGAGACAGTTGGATGATGATATCTGCCAGAAGGAGGACATGACCTAAAGCAAAGCTCTAATTATCTGATGAGATTAAAAGAAAACAAAATAAAAACGCACCATCTACAGATGAGAGCGGCTCCCTGGCTGAAGTCCCCGGAGTCCTCCCCGTCTTCAGAAGCCTGGATTTGGAAGTCTCCGCTTTGAGCCCGGGACTTTCGATGCCGTTGTTGGAGAATGGCCTGAGGCGCGGAGAGGAGGCCTCCTGCTCGGGGGGCTGGTTCATTCCCCCGCCGTGCTGGAAAGAATACCTGGAGAGATACTGCCGCAGGGCGCCCAGGAGAAGGTCGGCATCCGCCTGGGTGGCAAGGAGCGAGTTGGATGGAGGTCCCGGTTTCTGCAGCAGCTGGAAAGATAAAAGGAGATGAGAAACTGGAGGGAGACGATTCTGAGTCGAGGACTTGGCTTCAGACTCACAGATGTCTGCAGAGACGCCCGACTCAAAACAAAACACTTTCTTTGTTTTAAAGCAGCCAGACTTGATCAATAGTTTAACACTGATCAAATTCTCTGATTTTCTTTTACGTATCGCTGGTTTTCCACTTATTTTTTGTCCAGAGGAATGTTTTCGTCACTTTAACGTAAGCTATGAATCATTAAAGCATAAAAAGCTCCTAAACTCAAGGGATGAGCCACGGTTTAAGGACCCAATGAACATTGCAAAGATCATTTTGAACATGAGCTTTCAACACTTTGCAGAGTTTTACCTAAAAAAAAACCCAGCATCTCCATCGTTCAGTTTTCAGTGTTACAGAAACATTGTGACAACTTTCGTTTACTTGAGCTTAATTAATGAGTTTATTTAATGTCGTGATGGTACTGAGTGGTTTGGACTTCCCTCTGGGATCAATAAAGTATAAATCCATCCACCTACAAGCACAATTTAAGCAAATATTTTTTGACTCAAGCCATTAGACAAATAAACATAACAGTCCATTTGTGCAATTATAATAAATTAATCAACAACAAAAAAAGGTTATTGTCTCTGCCGGACACATTAACGCCTACACAAGAGGAGAGGCATGAGCTTAAATATTGGTGCAATTATCAACAGCAACATGAACCGTCCTCATGCGTGTAATGCTTCTCTATGATTTGTGTGTCTGTGGCGTGCGTCGCTGCTGGTATCTTTCTCCATCACAGCTGACACCAAACAGGTGAATCTGAAGCGATAACGGGCTTCAAGCCCCAGAGCAGTGCCTGCAGGCTGCACACCTGTACCCTGAGTACACCCCCACCCCCCACCAGCAGGGCTGAGGCTTCAGCAGACCAGGCAGAGAGCCACAGCTATGCCATGAGGTTTTATTTGGAGAGGTAAACGTGTGCATGGTGTTATTTATTCTGAGAGAAGCCTTCAGTTAGAGAGGGGGGACAAACGCTACGTTGTGAAAGATTTTTTTCCCAGTAGTCCCAGTAAGAAGTGCATGTTTGTTCAGTTTCTGCCATTTCTTCTTCACATGGTTGTCAGGAAGCAACGGGAACACAAGCTTTAAAAGTGTTCAGTCGTCTGTGCTTCGTTGTTTAATCTTTTCATACCTGGCTACAGGGCTTAATTTGAGCTGGATCCTGTTCCGGGATCTGGGAACTCTATTATTTTGACAGGGTGCATTCCGGTAACTGTTTGCTTGGATCCGGTAACTCTCAGGCTTACAAATAATAAAGTTCTGAACAAATGTGCCTGCCTTGAATGAATAAAACCTATATTGGATATGTAATCTGAAAATAATTACATAAACACTAATTTTAAACACAACAGCCACTTACGAGCTTCCCAATGTCACATCAGAGCTGTCGCTTCAAGTAAGCATGTCTGCTTCTACCCTTAAAAAAATATCCGCCCCTAAAAGTTCAGTCATGAGGAATTTAATTGAAAAACACAAAAATATAATTAAACAGCACAACTAAATTGCAAATCAGTTTTACAGTTGAAGTGGGTCATTAATAAAGTTTTGATTATTTATTAAAAATACAGCGAGAGAAATGTTCAATGGTACGTTACGTATCAAAACAACGGCGCCAATTTGTCAAAATAACATTGATCAAAATGTAAAAAAAAGACAGTCCAATGTACTTTTTTTTTTTTTTAAGTATTCTCACTGTACAACTAAACAACTGGGAATTGAAGCGCATGAAGTCAGTGGCAATGGAGATACTGGAGCAGGTGCAAGTGGTGTGGGTGAGAGTTGAGCTAACCAGGCTGTCGTACCCGGGCAGGAGCCCACAGCCAGCCGCCATGAACAACCTGAGGGAGGAATGCCCAACAGTCTGGACAGCTGCCCAGCTCAAGGCCAAGCAGACCTACTATCTATGGCTTGTAACGGAAAATCAAGCTTGGGTCAACGCGGGGGGTTGGGGGGTGGGGGCTTAGGATGCTTGAGAGCAGCAGAGAGTGCTCTATTCACACAAGGAGAACTGTTGGTCAGGCTACTTCTTGTTGCTCTCTAAAATAGTTGTTTAACAACCCATTAAAATACACCAGAATGCAGGAAATTACATCATCTTTACTCTACTTTATTCAAAATTTTCTGGGGAAGGACCCCCACGAATTAAGCACTGCCTGTGCTACAATTTTGTTGCACTCCTCTCTGCATTTACGGTTTGTATAAAGAAAAAAAAAAAAGAAAAGATAAGTAAATTGTGAATAAATAAGAGGTGGTTTAAAAAAGTGAAATGAGAAAAATAAAATGACAAACTCAGACAGAATCCTTCACCTTGCCAGGTTTGCTCAGACTGGACGATGACGTCACAGGAAGGAAGCCCAAACGTTGGAGGTACGTCTGCAGGTTTCTGTTCAGCTCCACCTCCACCGGCTTCACCTCGTGGTCTCCTGGGTCCAACGCTGCTGCCGCCAGCCTGCAGGAGATAAAAATACAAGAACAACCGTTTTCACGCAGTCACAGCACTTCCTTTGGATGAAACAATCTAACCAAATAAAAACCTTTTCGATATTCACACTCGTCACCATTTTCCTGTACAGAAATGGGTTCAGTTTGTGCTTGTAGACGCGAGTAGTTCGCTTTTTGGGCTGCGTCAATAAACCGTTCTACTTGAAGTTTGCATTTTTACTCTGAATGAATCAGATTGGATACAGCCACTGTGTGGATGAAGATTTTAAAACATGGAGGTAAATGTGACCTGCTGTTGGTGTTGTAGACGGGTCCTTTCTGCTGAGGCTGGTAGGAAATCCTCCTCAGTTTGGACAACTCTTTGGACAGAACATGCTGGGTGACATCATCCTCCCACGTTAAACCTGAAGGCATGAACACAGAACTTCTTAAAGCAGCTTTCTCTCGTCTAAGTAAAATTCAATATGTGGACGTATTTGTCCCGTCAGTGAGACACTTCTGTCTTATTTATGGTTCTTTGTAGGTTAAAAGAATCAAAATCAGAGACAAGAAGAAAAAAAAATCCTAATTTCAGCAAGTGAGCAAAAGGACGAGCTTGATGAGCTGCTTCGGCATTCACGTCTGTTGCTTATGTTTAACATGCATCCAAACACAGCTTTCTGGCAACGGAACAGAGGAGCAGGTGCCAACGGCAGATGGGGTGGCGGAACAAAATGTTACCGGAAATATGGCCGCAGTGAGAAAAGCACAACACGAAGCGAAGCATTTGGCAGATGAGTGATGACGCTGCCGAAAGACTCAAGTAACCCAGACTGTGACTCCAGATGTGACGCCACAAGCTGCGGGTCCGTCAGAGGACGTGCGCTTAAACTGAGAACACGGTTTCCGTCAGCTGAACACAAAGGATCATACAAGCTGAAGGAAAGGTGGCCCAAATGTGTTGCTGACCGCAGAAAGGTTAAGACTTTCACCTGCACCTACAACCCGACTGAAACCTCTCAACGCTGTGAAAGGCCGGACACAGTCCCAACGAAATCTGATCTCTGCGGCTTCCAATGCATCATCTTCATCCTGTTCTTGAATTAAATGAAGTTTAAACCTGGCGTGACCCAAGTGAAAAATGAGCACAAGATTTTCTGGATGATTTATGGAATTGCAACAAAATAAAATGCAGAAGGAACCTAAAGTAGAACGGACTGAACCAAATACATACAGTATTTTCTGCCGTACACGTTGCACTGCCTTATTTTTGATTTTTTTTTCATTCAACCTTTATTTAAACAGATAAAACAGATATTTATTTAAACAGATAAGTCACATTGATCCTTGAGGACTCATTTACAAGTGAGGCCTGTTTGGACAGACAAAATGGTGAAAAATAACACAAACATGGTTTGGACACAAAAAAATTCCGAACACGCTTTTAACGTCTAGTTGAAGGTCAACAGCCCGATAGTGAATTTTTTTTTTTTCCGCACACTAGCACATAATGATGCCAACATTGCGCAGGGGTGGGGGGGACGCATCAGTCCAAATATGTCTAATAAAGTGGAAAAATCCATAAAGACGTCGCTTCAGCATATAACTCACATCTATTACGTGTCACCACTGACAACCCGGAAATGTGGACCGGTGTTGTGCCAAAAATCGATTGGCAGCTGCAAGAGCATGCACGGGAGGATTTTAACAAGAATTTAACAAGATTAACACTAAAAAAACTATTATTTGTTTGCTTGAAATTATAGTAAAGGTGTGTCTCAGTTTATCTTTTCCTTAACAAATGCACTCTGATGGTCAAATCAGCTGACTTTCAAAAGTCGATACGCTGAAGTAGGCGCGTGCGTGAGACGACTCGCTGTGCATTTCTTTGAAATTTAACAAGATAACCACCTAAAAACAATTGTTTGCTCGACTTTATAGTAAAGGTGTGTCTCAGTTGAACTTTTACTTAATAAATGCAGTTTCATTTTGCCCCGGCGGTGTGGCAGTCTATGGCAAGCTGAAGTGCCATCCAGTGGCTGAAAATGGTAGTGTTCAATATTTTCAATCAGAATTAATGAAAACCATCATATCTCAGCCAAAAATTGGTTTATAAATATGGGGGAAATCCATAAATACGTCGCTTCGACATACAAGTCGCAGGGCACGCAAATTATACAAAAACTTATAGTGACTTATAGGCTGAAAAATACGGTATTAGCTTAGCATTGATCTACTCTGTTCCATCTTAAACCACCTCTGCTTCAAGAGACCTGATCCAAGCTGATGGGTCGCTGCGTTAACGCCTCAGCGTGTCAATCATTTGACTCAAGCGTGTCAAAAGCACATGCACGCCAGCAGATCCTAATTACGAAAACTGAGTAACTGTTTATTCCAGCGCTCGGTATCGATGTTCTTCTTCATGGGTCTGCTCAGCACATGAGGTTTTTAATGGTTTCCTCTTGAACAAACTACAACGCTCGCTAAAAACAGGTGTGTGTGACATTTCTGTTCAGGATGGACATAAAGTGGATACTTTCACTGAGTTGTTACAGTGATGGAAAAATGTACAATATATAATTTGTACTCAAAAATCCATTTAATCAGTCAATAAACTACAATCCACATTAAACAAAAACTAAAATTAACCTAATTTGAGCCAATGTGTTTCTAAACTAAATCACATGAAGTCATGAGCTCATCTAAAGACAGATGTGTAAACTGCAAAAAGATTTAGTTTTGTCCAACAAATCACTGTGTGTAGACAAAATATACTTTAAAATGTCCTTAAAAACACTTCATGACGACAAACGTTTCACATTTTTCAGGGCAGATGCAGCCAAACATGATGAACAGAAGTTATTTATGAGAAAATATTATTTATAGAAAGTTTGTGGTTTATCTTATGATTATTTGACTGCAGGAAAAAGACAAGTCCACATTTTTCATGTTTAATTCAACATAATCGCTGAAATTTGATCATTTTAAATGGAATTACACTCTTTTCAAACATTTGACTAATTCACTGTTCTGTAAGAACGAACAGCAGGACTCAGGAGGAAACTTACTGATGAACATTTTTAACAATGTTCTCTCCAACTCTGATCAGCAGCGACTCCAACTCCAGCAGCTCAACTCGTTGCAGAACGTTTCCTACCAGTTTCTTCAGACCTCTGCAGAATGAATCACAGTCCCCCCACTGCCAGGAGTCAGGCTCCAACATCTCCAACAGCTGTGCAGCATGTCGGGCGAAGCGTTCCCCACCAAAGAGCCATAAAACTAAGATTTTAATGGCTGTGAAAATGGGAACTGGCATCGGGTGAACAGACGGCATCTGACACCACAGGTTAATGAACGCTGGCAGCTCTGCCAGGACATTCAAAGTGACTTTACGCCTTTCACTAACTAGACTAAACGTGAGCAAGAAGCTGCTAATTGAGACGTTTAATGCTTCGACGCGTGAGCTGAGAGCTGGGATGGAGTCTGAAGGTGACCAAGAGGCAGCTGGTCAAACACACTGCTCCTTTAACTTGGAATTTAAAGACGGAAAAGCAAATAAAGTTCATCATTTACAAAAAGTATAAGCAGAGGAAGGTTATAAATTGTCTTAGACATAGCCCAGTTCTATTTTTTATTTAATTAGACTAAATATTTTTAAGTGACTAAAACAAACAACGGTTGTGTTGTGTCTCTAAAAGGTTTCACAAAACATTACTGCTCTTCAAAGATGAGCTTTTTCATTTATAAAAAAAAAAACACTCAACCCTCATAAGCCACAAGATCAACAACAATTTTAAGGAAAAACAAACAAACAAACATGATTTGGGGGACCTCTGGCGCCCCAAGTGAGACTCATCTTACTGAAAGGTCTCAATTTCAGATCCCGGACGAGACCCCAAAGTTTACCATGTTCAGTCAAGGAGTGAAAACATGGATGTGATTTTTAAACTAAGTTCTGCACTGATTTGCCAATTTAATAAACTTAACATGAATATCCTACTTCATGCTCAATTATCCAGGTAGAAAACTTCAACAGAGTTAAGTCAGGTCCTCTGGACGGTTTCTTTTTTTTTAAATGTTTTGTCTTTAAGACTTCATCAATCCGAGGAGCAACAACAAACTCAATCTTATAAATAGCACCTTCACATAATGGATCGGCCAATTTGATGGTGCTCAGATGGTTTCTGGAGTCCACCCTCTCCCCTGCCGGCTCATTTGAGGCAGTCATGGCCAAAGTGGTTGAAGTGGTGAAGTGATGAAGATCTGATGAAATATTTTGGATGAAAGACGAAATGTTTCAACAACAACAATTAAAAAACTGTCAAGAGGACCTGGCTTAACTTTGTTGCATTAACATGAAAAGTTTTGAGTGGGGGGAGTGGTGGTGCAGAGGTTAGACGATGTGAGCCTGTGCTCAATGATTCGAGCCCCCAGACCAACAACATCTAAATGCGGGTAGGAAAGGTGAAGCACCCACACCTGCCTCCCCATTTGCTCCACTCTGGACCCGTGAGCAAGGGTGAAGCTCTAGATAGCAGCTCTCTGCTCCACACAGAGGGCTGCGGTAGCTCGGGGGTTGTGTCAGGAAGGACATCCAGCATAACAACAATTGCCATCTTCATGCAAGTTAGCTCGCTGTGGAAGAGCATGACTAGTGCTGTCCCTCCCCCCAATAAAGTAAGTCATGAAATGGGAAGGAAAAAAACAAGCCAGGTGCTGTACTTTCGTGGTGCAGCGGAGTGTTTTGTTCAAAGCAGACGCCGAGTGATGAAAGTGGGTGAAGTGCAGCTGCTGCCCGGTGGGGGTGAGGAGCGGTCTCTGCCTCCCCCTCCTGGTTCAGCACATCTACAGCAGCTCATCGCAGCAGTTAGCACTTTCACAAAAACAATACCCATCATTTCATGATGTTCCCATATTCCATCCAACACAGATCCACAAGTTTAGAGCCAAAAAATAAAAAGAAACTGAGTCCTGAGAGGAGGAGAACATTTTCAGTTCAGTTCTAAACACTTTCCTTTGTCAGGTCAGAGTTTTCTTTTTTAGACCAAGAACCAAACATTTGTATTTCTGTTCATTAAAGCTGAAACTCAGAGCAAACGGTAGCCTCAAAACAATGAATAAAGAACTTCAGACCTGTCACAGTTGAGAGAAAAGCTCAGCGCTGCATCGTGTATTTAGTGACAGTAACACTGAGCTGATTCACTAAAACTGGCTTCATGTTTTCATGTTACAGAGATGACAATATATATCTTTGGAATGTCCATATGTTGCTTCTCAAACGGGTAATTTAATCATTGTTAACTCACACAACCAACAATTAGCTGCTAAATCTCATATTCATTATATTCTGTTAGGCTGAAGGAAAAGAAAGTTTAAACTTTACACTCTGCTACTTAAAAATATATATATATATATATCCTGAAAACTGTCTGCACTTTTATGGTTTGTGTTTGTTTATGAGTTATGTTGGAGAAGTCATTTGTTGCAGTGATCCATGTGTTGTGTGATGAAATCAAGAAGTACAATCAAGGATGTAAAATTTAAATTAATGATTTAAAAAAGTTTCCTACATGGAAAAACATTAAGGAGCCATAATTGAGTCTGGTTTCCAAGTCAGAAGTTAAGTACTATACTTGCCACCGTAAATGTCACACCGCCGTGTCACGTCAGTCTAAATATGTCTAATAAAGTGGAAAAAACATAAATACGTTGCTTCTCTGTTTAAGTTGCATCTAAAGTCACCGCAGACCACCCAGAAACGTGGGCCGGTGTTGTGCCAAAAATCGATCGGCTGCCAAATGGCGGCCGCGGGAGCGCGCAGAGGGACAACTCGCTTGCATTTCTTCAAAATTTAACAAGATAACCACCTAAAAACAATTATTTGTTTGCTCAACATTACAGCAAAGGTGTGTCTCAGTTGAACTTTTCCTTAATAAAAGGACTTTAATGGGCAAATCAGCTGCATTTCTCCTGGGCGACGCTGTGAAATGCAGCTGATTTGACGTTTGCTCCAGGAGTTCCAGCGCGAGATGAAGGTGGCTCTGTATGGCAAGCCAAGTGTCTCATTAATAGCCACTTGTACCTATTAATGAGACACTTGGCTTGCCATATCGGCTGAGAGCCCTCTAGTGGCTGAAAATGGTAGTGTTCAATATTTTCCATGTCAGAATGAATGAAATCATCAGATCCAGCCAAAATTTTGATTATAAACGTGGAAAAAAAACTTATCGTAGTCGCTTCACTGGATAAGTCGCAGGAAATGCTAATTTATGCAAAAAAACTGTACTCTTTTAGACAATGTTACGTAATTTTACGTCTCGTCCCAAAATAACAGAAATCTAAGTAAACATAAACGTTTCTCTCAGTAATTTAAAGCAAAAGTTCTAAACTAATCATACTAGGACTAGTTTCCATTAACACTAGGACTCGTCTTAATGGCAACAGATCTGGAGATTGTTTCCCAGTTTCATGTGAGGCTGCACTGATGTCTTATTATTAAAAGTTAAAGTGTAAATTATTTAAAAAGAAAGCACAATGTTGATACAACTGCAAAGCTTCTGCAACATGTACTTTATATTTTACTGTAGAAGAAAATCTCAAATCACTGTGACTTTGATGGCACAGCAGAAGATGAATACAATCTTTAAAGTTTAATTTACTAAAAAAAAAAACTTTTAGAAGTTTCTCCACTCCTCAGACTCTGGTTTTAGTGTTGGGTACGTTAGATTGACAGCTGCTCCTGTCTGTACCTCTGTTGGACAGCTTCTCCAGCAGGATCCTGAATCGTTGCACGACAGATGGAGACACATCGTAGGTGTAAAAATCCTTCACTGGAACAGAGTGACACCTCCCAAACATCCCATCTGCAGACACAGAAATACACAGTCTTGCATTTATATTTGTGAATTTGCGTCACAGCAACGCCCACGGTTGGTTTTCTACTGTCCTATAAAAAGAAACAGTATATCCATGTGTTTTAGTGGATACGACTCATTTTCATGCCTCGAATGGGTTTCCATTCATCAGCAGAGAAAATCAGAAGAAATCCTTGAAAGGAGGTGCTTTTTTTATTTATTATCTGATTTCAAATGTATAAACTAGGCTGTTTGTGTTAGCAGTGTGTGATAATACTGTATTCAGCATAAGGTGTGCCAACAGGTGAAAAAAATATAAAAATGGATTTTGTTCAGAGCTAAACTCTGCTGGTTGATAGAAAGGTTGCACCAACGAATATAAAAATATACATATAATATAGCAGTCTGCAACTTTACCCTCATTCTGACTCTTCATCCTTTTATTGTGAGTCTTCACAGACACTTCCTGTCAATGAATCAGAGCACCTAACGTTTAAATCCCGCACCGTGCTAAAGAGTTCAAATATCTTGAGCGATCGCTTAGGAGTGCACGACGCGGATGACTCTCAGCTACTACCACACTAAACTTCAGTTTAATATCTGTAAAAATGGCAGCGTTAGTCTTTATTGTGTTTGATAATGTTGATTAGCTGTGGCGGCCATCTTGACCAAGCTTGATCACAAAAGCTATTCAGTTGCATCCAATAAATTACTTTGGCTGTCATTGAAATTCTTCCGTTCATGAGATGCACACGATACTACGAACATTTACAATGTATGACGTTGTTTAACAAGACGGCACGGTGGTTCAGCTGGTAGAGCTGTTGCCTCTCAACGAGAAGGTTGCTGGATCAAATCCCAGCTGGGAGGAACATTTCTGGGTGGAGTTTGCATGTTCTCTCCATGCAAGCATGGGTTTTCTCCGGGTGCTCCGGTTTCCTCCCACAGACCAAAAACATGCATGTTAGGCTGATTGGTAACTCTAAATTGTTCCTAGGTGTGAGTGAGAGAGCGAGAGTGAATGTTTGTCTCGTTTGTCTCTCCGTGTTGCCAGATTGGGCGGTTTTCATTCTGATTTTGCAGGTAAAAATGACTTTGGGCGGATTTGGGGTCAGATCGGTGTTTTTTGAGTTAACCTATTAAACACATTTCAAACAATCATTCATCATTACTGGTTCAAAGCTCCCCTGACATTTCTCCATCACTGATTGGCTATTGTCATCGGCCGGGGCGTTCACAACAGAGAACTGGTGAGACCGTTAGTGGACGCCTCGTTGAGCGGGCTGACCCGTTGCAGCGGTACGTCGGAGAGGCCGCCATATTGGATGTGGCAGAACTGCCGATCAACTGATAGAAGGAAATGAACTGAACTTCATAAAACACCGTTCTACAAAGTGTTTTAAGTTAATGCCTGTCATTCACACACAGTAATATATTTGTAAAACGAACAGACACCAAAGACAACATTTAAAGTGATTATTAAAAATGTTTACTCCTTAAATGTTTAGGTTAAAGATAAGAACTAAACCAACATGTATTATTTTGAGTGTTTACAACAACTAATGTGTGTAACATATTACTGTGGTGATAAATATAGAAATATTTATGTTTAACATTTAATCTGTGTCTATAATGATCAGATCTTGAAATGTGACATGTTGATTTTCTGAATAAAGAGCACCAACGTTCACATTTAACTGATTTTGATTAATCACACTGATGAACATATAAACACCAATATACCTTTACAGGGGGTGGGGGGTACTGTGTGTTTATATACATATATACATCGATCGAGACAGACAGACAGACAGACAGACAGACAGACAGACAGACAGACAGAC